ACAGGTCTTCTTCCGAGACCTGGGAGGGAACACAGAGTGAAGCAGTATCTTAGTGCGAACACATCCCTTTCAAGTCAGTGAAAACTTCAAAGGGCCCAGGTGTGCAGCTGACCTACTGTAAAATGCAGGAGAGAGTCTGCCTCGGGTCCACACAGCCACAACAGTGTTTCCAGAACAAATGACTGTGTGTCTGGGAAGCGTGACCTTCATACTGTCCAGGGTTCTGTTTTGATTTGGAAGTGGATTTTCCAGATCTCTCATGAGGTTTTGATAAAGATGAAATGTATTGGGTAAAAACCTAGAGCCCGGCTGAAGACGGATGTGTGTCCTTAAACACCTGACTGTGAAAGGGCAGCATGGTCACAGCACACGGACAGTGCAAGGTCAGCCAGGCAAGGTCAGAAATCTCCAGAAATTCTTTTAGTCACACTAAAATCCTGAGTCCGAAATCCTCCCGCGGTGTGCCCTGCACACTGGGGAACTTTTTGATTGTCTCTTTTTGTCATTATTGTAACTATATTTCCCCCTTCCAATGAAGTTTTTTCTTTATTAAATAACTTTTTAACCACTTTATATTTCAAGTGAACTTTTATATCTTCACGCCTGGTTAATTGATTCAGAACAAGAAGAGAAAACATCGGCTTATATTGATAAGACTGTACGCAATTCCTTAATGCCTGGTTCTACAAGTTAGAGAGTTAGTGGCTTGCTTTGAATTATGTTTATAACGTTTAGGAAAATAGCATTGACTGTGATACTCCTTTTCCTCCAGACTTTCAGGAGAGCTCCAGTAATGCCATTCCATTGGCACATTAGGTCTCAGCACCTTCCACTCACTCTGAAGAATCTGTTAACGTGTGAAGTCTTCTACACTTTAATTTGCTCTAATTATTTCCATTTTTTAAACAAACAAATCAAATTATCCTATAAGTTTTTCCCTTATAAAAAAAGTGTGGTATAGTACAAAGCGTATTATGTCATTTACATTTTTCTGCTGGAAAGTGTCATTCTTTGTTCCCAAACAACACACTCTCAAAGCCAGGCCCAGTCTCACTCTCTCCAGCAGGCTGACTTCCATGGGACTAAAAGGCGGATGGAATCAGGAGAAGAGAGATATCCTTCAGTAATGACGCATGGTAACCCAGCAGAGCTGAGAGACGAGGGGTCATTTTGCAGAATAAATTGTTTAAATGTTTAAGTTGTGTTTTGCTTTATATGTTTACCCCAATGTTGAATATTCTGTTATTGAATTATCTTGAGCTTTTCTCAGGAATAAATTAAACTTCTGTGTGTTTGTGTTTTTGTGTGTCCCATGTCACATTTGAATTCGAGAAGCCACATCTGAAGAGAAAGTTCCCAGTGGTACTTATTGAATAATGGTGGTCATTTTCACATGGTCCCTATGTGGAATTCTGAGGTTGGAACCCTGGTTGCTTAATGATTTCTTAGAATATAAGACTGGAAAAAGCTGCCAGTACAGACTGTCATTTTCCTTTCATCTAGTACATTTTAACTTTTTTTTTTTT